CCCTGAGCTGGCCAAATCCTCCTGAACATTATCGTGGTGATAGACCCTTCTGAGTGAAAACAGAGCTGAATCAGGCAAAGCTGCTAAATTAAGTCTGTCTGGAATAAGTCGTTAACCACTGAAACCTTTGGAACACCAAGGGAATGGATAAAACCCTCTGAAAGCTCCTGAAGATGCTTCCAGCAGAGAGGGGCTGCAGAGGGGAGTGGGACTGAGCAAGGGCTACCCCAAGGAGAGGGAAAGATGCTCCCAAACCCCCACAGAATGAGAACTGTGGCACAGGGATCCTCGAGGCCAGGGGCACAGAGGGTGTCTGTGGCAGAGGGGATGGGATTCAGCCAACACCAGCACCAGGACACATGGGCCACCCCCAGGGCCCCCTTGGCATGAGCACCAGGGATGCAGGGGCCACCTCCACTGGCTTCAAACTGCAGCTCCAAGCTGCACAGGAATCCATCCTTCTACCTTTAATAAGCTTTCTCCCTTTAAAAATAATCATTACCAATAAACAGATATACCAGCCAGTGTATATAAGCATCAAATTAAGTAGCTACATGCATTTGTTATATTTGATATAGCCTTGTTAAGTGGAAATTCCTAGGTTTGGAATATGTATTGATTTCAGCAAACATATATTATTTTACTGTAAGTACCAACAGCCATTGTAGCTAATATACAGCAGTTTAATTTAAAATGCATTAGTTTAATAAAAATGCATAAAATAGAAGAGAATTGCATTAGCTTCAATAAAAAATTCAATTTCATAAATATTATCCAGTGTTAAAATGCATTGATTTCCTGGGAAAACGTATTGGTCAGAGGTAATTTACATTGGTTTGAATGGGAATGTACCAGTGTGTATACATATGTATAAGTTTAGTCAAATGTATCTGACGGTGGAAAAAAATACCCGTTGGAGCAAAAGATTTTCATAAGGAAACTACAACAGCCTGGAGTGACTGCAGGGCTGGATCTGGAGCAGCCCAGTGCTCTGACATGGCCATGCTTGGGCAGCCCTGGGGCCTGCACACCCCAAAGTGGTGTCCAGACTTGGGGCTGCCCGTGGGCACGATGGTGCTGAGCTCCCTGGGCTGAGGGAGCCCCTCATGGGGCCATGGGCAGGACTTGGCTGGGGTGCAGGCACAGGGTGGCTCAGGCAGAGCACATGCCTTGAAAAGAGCAGGGGCTAATCAAATCCTTTTGACTTCATTTTTTATGGAGCTCAAGAGGGGCTGTCCTATTAATTAGAAAGGTTTTTTCATGCAAAACACAGGCTCTTTTTGCAGATAAGAAGGGATGATGCTTGATTTTGCCACAGCACAGTTATGCATGTTATTCCCTGACCATCCCTTCACAGGCTGCAGCCACTTCCCAACAGCTCTTTTGTTCACTAGGGAGCTCTGCATGCACATCTGTAAACACACACATAGATTTAAAGCACTCAGCTCTTCCTGCATGCGAGTTACTTCCCCAATATCCACAGCAGAGGAAGGAAAATACGTGCCTGGAGCTTCTTCCACCCCCAGACTGGACCAAGGTCCTCACCAACGGGACAGGACCTGGCTGGTGCAGCACAGAGGAGCAGGTCTGACAGTGAGAGGTGAGCAGAGGAGCAGATGCACCCTCTAGAAACCACAGCAGAAGCACAGGCAGCCACCTGCACCCCATCCCTGGCCAGGATGTCTGTGCCAGAGCCAGCCCCTCAAAATCCACAGCCACCATCTCACCCCCAACCACAAGGCGGGTAACACCAGGGAGAGACCAAGCTCTGAACCTCTTACAGACAGAAATGCTGCTTTCCCCAGTAAAAACCATTCTGGGAAACCTCCAGGGCTGCCACCAGCCACGGCCCAGCAGGACACGGAGCCAGGGACGGGCAGGGCCGGCGGCTCCACAGCCCACTGGTCCCATTGAGCAGCTACACATCACTGCCCTGATGCTTATGGATTTTTCCTTAATGCCACAAATTAAGGTAATTGGGCTCGGCTGGCCGATGAATCTGGCTGAACCCGGCAGGAGGAGGGAGCGTCCACCCCAAGATTGTTCCCCCTCATCCCCAGCTCTGCCCCGCGGCTCCCTTGCCTGCCCTTTTGCCCCAACAGACACAAAACTCATCCTCAAATCCCTTCCCTCAGCTGCAGCTCCACCCAGGTGAGGTGGTCGCTCCTGGATCAGGAGTTTTCTCCTCTCCAGGCGCTTTTCCTCACGTTTCCCAGCTGCCTCCTGAAATCCCCCGTGCGATGCCACCTGGTGGAGCGGTGAGTGCCAGGGATCCAACAGGGTGTTTGTGACCCCTGGAGGAAGGAGAGCAGCGTCTGGGCAGAGCCTGGAGCTCCAGGGATCCCATTCCATGCTGCCTTTGTTCCCAGCCCCGTCCCAGCCCTCCCTGCTCACCCACCAGCCTCCTTGGCCCAGGGAGGGGACGATGCCAGGCAGGGGCATGAGGTGGCCGCCGCCCCCTGCCACTGGCTCGGGACCACGTTGGGCACAGCAGAACTTGGGGGGGCCCAGCAGTGGCTGAAGTGCCCCCCACACACACCCCCCCACCATTCCTACCCCAGCACGCTCACATCACCAGGGCAAGGCGAGAGGGAGGGGAGATAAAATTAACAGGCTAAAAATAGAAGACAAAGAAGACAAAACAGGATCACCAGCAGTTCAGCTCCTCAAGGGTGCTGGGGACAGGAGTCAGAGCCCAGCAGAGGTTTTGCAGGGCTGGTGCCTGCGGGTTCAGTGGCTCACTCCAGCCAGGGTGGCCATGCCACATTGGGCTGGTGGCCACGGTGGCCAGCAGTGCCAGTGCCACCGCTCCCGAGTGCTGCAGGATGTGGCCCCGCACCAGCTGCCAGCGCCCGGGACGTGGAGAGTTAATTGCCTGTGTCTCCCCAGGACCAGGGCGAGCAAGTGTTTGGCTTAAGGGGGTGACAGGTGGCTCGGTAGGGGGTGACACGTGAGAGAGGAGCCTGCCTGGCTTTGGGGAGCTCAGCATCCGCCTCCAGCCGCATCCCAGTGCCCTTGGGTGGGGAGCTGTGTCTGAGCTGGAGCTGCAGCAGGACAGCCCCTTCACCCAGAGACTAGGCAGCCTCTTCTGCTCTGCTGGGGGTGTTCAGCCTGGAGAAGAGGAGGCTCCAGGGAGACCTTAGAGCACTTTCCAGTACCTGAAGGGGCTACAGAAAAGCTGGGGAAGATCTTTTTGCAAGGGCAGGGAGTGAGAGGGGGAATGGCTTTAAACTCTGGGTGGATTGGGTTAGATGTTAGAAGACATTCTTGACTGTGAGGGTGAGACACTGGCCCATGTTGCCCAGAGAAGCCATCCATGCCCCATCCCTGGAACTATTTAAGGCCGGGTTGGATGGAGCTTGGAGAACCCTGGTATAGTGGGAGGTGCCCCTGCCTATGGCAGGGGTTTGGAACTAGATGATCTTTAATGTCTTTTCTCACCCAAACCAGCCTGGGATTATTTGATTCAAGCATTACAAGCAATGAGACCCTCTTGCACCCAGGACAGTGGAGCTCCTCCAGCAGCCAAGCAGCATCCAGCTTTGCTGTGCAAATGCTGCAATGGGGCAGGAAGGCTCCTCAAAATGTCTGGTGACACATCCATGTCCCAAGGTTTGGGGAACTGTAGATGTGGGTTGTCCCCAGACCAACTCCTCCCTTCACATCCTGGGAAAGGGGAAAAGCCCAAGTGACACACACAGGTGGGATTGCTCCTGTGTAGTCCTCACCACGGGTCAGCATCTCCAGTGTGGGAGCTGCAGGGCCTCCTGGCACTTCATTAACCTTGAAACCCTCTCTGGCTCACATGTCACTTCAGCCGGTGACAAGAGCAAGCTGCTACTCCAGATTAGAGGGAGAGGGAAAAGTCCCAGACAACAGGGTTGGGGGTGGCTAACTTACCTACTACAGCCAAAAGTGGGCATGTGGTTATTTTTAACCGGGAGTGGGAGGTATTTATTGTCTCAGCCCAGGGGGAGCAAGGGACTGTCTCCACAACACCTCTCGAGCACCAGCGGCGGCCACGGAGCCATGGTGAGTACCAGAGCCTGGAGCTCCAGGGGGACAGGCAACATCTGGTCACTTTTTCACCAGGATAGCTTTAATGGGCAGGGAGCCATGGTGGGATGACAGGGATGTAACAGCCAAGGATCCGTCCCTCCTGCCCCACAAAGGGGGTGAGCAAACCAGGGGGTATCTGGCTGCATTGAGAGCATCCCACTGGGAACAGAGAGGGGTGTCCCATGTGGGACAAAGAGGTGTCTCTGATGGTAACAGAGCTTTCTAACTGGGGCACACCAGTCTGGGGTCAAAACACCATCTTCCTGCTTCTTCCTCCGGCGCAGTGAGAGGAAGGGCTGCTGGGCCCTCCAAAACTCTCCTGCTCTGCCTCTTCCTGGCAGAGCCCCCTGGAGAGAGGGAAAAGCTGCAGGAGCAGCCGTTGGAGAGAGGGACAATTGGCAGGGTGGGAGGGTGAGCAGCTCCGTCCTCCTCCTGTTCCTAAGACAAATCAAGCCATTTCTGGTTGTTTTAAGCCTCAGTAGAAGTGGAGTCAGATTTTTTTTAAAAGCAAATATTTTAGTAAGTGCTCTGTTCTTCTTTAGTAAGCTGCTGTGCAGCTCCAGCAGCACTCCCAGAGCTGAGTTTCCACCAGGGAAGACCTCACCCAGTGCCCATCCTTTCACCTTCCCTAGCCTTTGGTGGGGAACTGATTTCCCAATTCATCTTTCCTCAGACCTATTTGCCCAAGCTCATCAGGAAAGTGGATTTGGAGCTGTAATTTAAGTAGCAACCTTAATGTCCCTCAGTATCTTGGAGGGTCACGTGCACCCAGAGCTCCTGAGCAACACATGGGAAAACCACCAAGCACCCAAGTGCAGGGGCAGCACCAGCCCAAAGCTACCGTGAAGGACTCGACTAAGAATAGGGCAGTTTAATTCTTTTATTCCACACCATAAAAAGCCAGTGACTTAGTGACACATACTTGGACCCCTGCAGGCACCCAAGAAAGCCAAGAAGAAGATTGAAGGTGCTAATTCCAATGTCTTCTCCATGTTTGAGCAGGCCCAGATCCAGGAATTCAAAGAGGTAGGTGGGTCTGGTAGAAATGACTGGAGGTCACTGATGTGATGTGACCTTCAGCCCTTTCCTCAGCACTTTCAGGTCAGGAGGTCTGGTTTACAAGAGGCAGCCTGGTTTGGAGTTGTTTCATTTTAAAAGTGCAAGTAACAACTCTGTGACATGATTAAATACAGCATCACCTGGAAGCATCCTAGGAGGCTGCACCCTGCAGAGGAGATGGCAGCATCCAGCAGAGCAGGAGAACATCTCCCAGCTGGCTCTTACCTGCTGTGCCAGGAGCTCCTCACAACGTACTCTCTGCACACCTGGCACACAGTCCTGTGTGGACCCCACTTACAGGGATACCCGGTCCCAGCTGGGGGAGCTGGTGGCTCAGGCTGTCGTCCCCAGTTGGTGTCATTGTCCAGGGGTGAGAGGGCTTTGCCCAAGGCACAGGGTCTATGGGACATTAGGGTTTGGGCTGCTGTAGGAAGCTGCCACCCTGCACTGCCACGGGGTGCAGGAGCCAGGATTGCTGCTGGATTGTTTCTCTGTCACTGTGTGAGGACCCCCAGAGCCCCATCCTGGGCAGGGCTCAAAGCCATTTGTCCCATCCAAGTCGAAGGGAGAAGGAAGGAACTAAAGCCTCAGCAAAGGCCAACAGCTCTCCCTGTGCTCCTTGCCCTCCTTCTGTGCTTCCAGGCATTCACCATCATGGACCAGAACCGGGATGGCTTCATTGACAAGGCAGACCTGAGAGACACATTTGCTGCCCTGGGTGAGTCCCCTTTTAGGACCTTCCCCTCTCCAACAGCTTCCACAGCATTAGATCAACTAACTGAGAAACCAGCTGTGAGCCCCCAGTTAACTAAGGCCCTGGGCTTAACTGGATCTCCTGTGTTGCTGAAAACCTCCTGATCCAAAACCACTTCTGTTGGCTGGTGAGACCCTAGGTGGGATGACCCAGAGCAGCCCTCTGCAGCTCTCTTTTCTGTGACCCTGGAGGCTGAGAAACCAGAGCCTGAGATGTCCAGTCCACATGGTCACTTCTGCTATTGCTGTTCCCTGTTGGAGATGGTTTCCCAGCTCTGTGTTCCTTCCTCAGGGTGGGGGAAAAACCTGCAGGGCAAGGCTCTCCTGGTGTGTCCTTTAGTCCCTGATACACAGAGCAGAGCCTGGAGGTCTGCAGCATGTCCAGCTGGGCAGGGACACGGGATTCACCCAATGCTGCTTTAACCCAGGGCGCCTGAATGTGAAAAATGAGGAGATTGATGAGATGATAAAGGAGGCACCCGGGCCAATCAACTTCACTGTGTTTCTCACCATGTTTGGGGAGAAATTGAAGGGTAAGAGGGCACTCAGGGAGCTGGGGGTGGGGGAGAGGGTTGGTGGGCACAGTGGCACTGGTGGCTGCCCTGGCAGGAGCACTGGCTACAGCAGGACTTTGACCCAACGGCCCTTTGGAGTCTCCCAGTATCACTCACCCAGGGGCACACAGCCTGCCCAGATCTGCAGGAGGCTCCACAGCCTCGAGGCTGGTGCTCTATAAATACACCCTAAGATTAGATAGATCCCAGATGCCAGGGTGGTGGTGACACCTCCTGCTTTTTGGGCACACCACGACCTTACATCTGCTCCTCTTCATCCCACCACCTACACTCAAGACCCCAGCTGCAGGGTCAGAATTCCTGCAGGGCCTTTTGCTTCCCAGCTTGCTCCCCACCTGCCCCCAAAGGCTTTGAAAAGCAGGAGAGTCTGCAGCTACCTTCCTCATGTCAGCATGTCACCTGCAGGTGCCGACCCAGAGGAGACAATCCTGAATGCCTTCAAGGTGTTTGACCCAGAGGGGAAAGGCCTGAAATCTGACTAGTGAGTGCAGGGGTGCCTGGGGAGGGGGGCAGTGGGAATCCCCACCACAGCCTCCCTGATGCTCACTGCCCTCTCTTGTTTGCAGCATCAAAGAGATGCTGATGACACAGGGTGAGAGATTTTCCCAGGAAGAGGTACGAGCTCCTTCCCGCTCCACACCAGCCTCCCATGCCCTCCATCCCCACAGACCCCCAGCCTTC